ACTGCGATGACCTGGATCCAGTGGTCAAAACAGCGGCCGGTGTGGTGACCCTATTCGAGACGAGTCTGGGCGGCGACCGATTCAAGCGGACAGACCTCAAGTTCGGCGACCATCACAGCGAACACCCGACAAAAGTACAGAACCTGACCGTCGATCGGACCAAACGGGTCCAGAAGATTGTCGGCTTCGGCGGCTCCTTCACGGACGCTACCGGCTATACGATCTCCACTCTACCCGACGCCCTCCAGAAGCATATCATTGACGACTATTTCTCGGCCAAAGGCGTTGAGTACAATCTGAATCGTTTGCCGATAGGCGGCGCCGACTACTCGCGACGCGCCTACAGCTACGATGACGGACACGACGGCGACTTAGAGCTCAAACAGTTCGCCCTAACCGATGAGGATAAGACGTATAAGGTTTGTGTTGGCACTACCTGTAGTTGCCTTGTTTATACTGTATACCAAATTGGTATTACCAATATGTTTCATTAGGAGTCGCATGATATTCACTATAAACATATGAACTGGTTCGTTTTAATAACCGGTTTCTTATAAATGCATACCACCTATCATAGACTCATTAGATAAATACATTGCTTACAGTTCATGAGCAAGTATACATTACCAAGAAACCGGTTATTAATATAAACCTGGTATGACTTGCTAATTGATAGGCTTTCTGTAAGAGAGAACTATCTCTAAATACAAATATATGATTAGTTATTATGAGTTATATTATAAACTATAAGTAATGTTTGAATTTAATGAATGCATGATAGGTGATCAAAGTTTATCTTAGTATTCAATACTACAGTATATTCATAAAAATATAAATTCAAAAAATTATAGTAGTTTAATTTAATTATTAATATACAAAAACTAATTTTCATACCTTCATAACCATTCATAACCATTCATAACCATTCATAACCATTCATAAATTCATTAGATTCATACATGACCTATAGTTTATAATATAACTCATAATAACTATTGATATATTTGTATTCAGAGATAGTTCTCTCTTACAGAAAGTCTATCAATTGGATGTCGGGTTAACAGCCAATAGTAATATACAGTAGATATTATATGGTGTAACTGTATGGGTAACACTGGAAACATAGTAATTTGAATTCATTTTAAATGTGCATGCAACTCATAAAAATTAATAGCATTGTAATATTTGTGCATGAATTTTATGCCTGAAACATACAGAATATTATCTGTTATTATTAATACTCAATAATTAACTCACGATTATTTTTGCATCTTGGTTGAATATGCTAGATTCCGTACATGAAACTGGCCAAACAAGTGAGCCCGCACACACAGAAGTTTTTTGGCAGCCCCTGGTCGGCACCCGCCTGGATGAAGACAAACAACGAGCTCCACCACGGAGGCTATCTGAAGGGCAATCCCGGGGAACAGTACTATAAAGCATTTGCCAAATATTTTGTTAAGTGAGTTACACAAAACATTCATAACTCCGAAACACAACAGTCCCAAAATTATCTATATTCTAAAATATACTTATATAAGTATATACATAAATATACATAATTTAAGTTTAATTTAATTAGATTATTAAGTTGCGACTATAAGTAACTTTGACCTATTATGATTTTCCTAGGTTAACCTTGCTAAAATTGAAAAGCGTAATATAGTTTTCAGGCAATTATGTGTGTTTCGAGATTATGTGGTACAGCTAACCGATAACACTACTATTGTACACAATAGTCTATTGAATAGACTAACTAATCTTAACATTAATTCTAAACACCAGATTCCTCGACGCGTACAAAGAGCAGGGTCTGGACATGTGGGGCGTGACCATCGAAAACGAACCGTCCGCCGGCAGTCAACCGACATACGAGTTCAACTCAATGGGCTTCACGAAAGAGATTCAGAAGGACTTCCTGGTGAAAGACTTGGGACCTGCTTTGTCAGCCGCCGGCTACGGACCCGACAAACTCCAGGTCATGATCTTCGACGACCAACGGGACCACATCCACGAGTGGGCGCAGTATATCTTCTCGGACAAGGAGGCGGCCAAACTGGCCGCGGGCACCGCCTTTCACTGGTACCAGAACAACAAGGACAATATTGGCAACTTGAAAAAGACCCTGGACGCCGACCCCACTAAGTTCATCATCAACAGCGAGGCCAGTGTCAGCGTCAACAAGAAGGAGAATCCAAATCAGGGCGATTGGGGTAATGGTCTCGAGAATACTGTGCGCGATATTATCGACGTAAGTGCGCTTGGTGATGTTTGATATCCACCATTTTTATCTCTATTCATCTCGTTTTAAATGTACTGGGGGTACAATTAATTATGTCCTTTATTAATGATGTACGTAAGCTCCCTAGTTACCCCTCCACAGTGTGGAGTCCACACACACACACACAATTTCGTACCACTTTGTTACACAAGCCTTGCACTTAGTGTTCCCAAATTCCCAAATCTCAAGTTTCAAACAGGACTCTCAATGAATCGGTGGTATTCTCAAAAAAATATTTTCAAAAAAATACCATTTCAATGGACATCAAAGAAATTTATGATCACTTTCTAAAAGATCATGAAAATTAAGGACATATTTGCGTGTAAAAATAAGGATAGTCAAGGAATTTGATTTTTGGATATTGGAACGCTACTTGCACTCCATATGAGTGATACTATTCCCGTAACAATTGTACAAAAAATTATCTCTTTTTACAGTAATATCTTTTACTGTATTATATAATATATAAGTTCATTTCTAATACATACCAAGTCAATCAACCCATTTTGATCCCCGTGCCATTTCTCAGGACCTCAACAATTACGTGTCCGGTTGGGTGAACTGGAACATGGCGCTGGACCTACAGGGCGGACCAAACTGGGCCGGCTTCAAGGCGTACGCCCCGATCCTGATAGACGCCGCCAATAAGACCTACTACAAGCAGCCGTCCTTTTACGGTCTGGGTCATATCAGCAAGTTCATTTTGCCCGACTCGTATAAGTTGGACTTCCATGAGACCACCAAGATCGATCGCTACCAGAATACGGCAGCCGTGAGAGCCGATGGCGGTGTGGTCGTGGTTATCATGAACTCAAGCGACGACCTTGTTGAGATTAACATTAATGATGCTGGACAAAAGTTGTCGCATTACGTCAAACCCCATACCCTGCAGACCTATATCTATTGGCTTTGAATTTACTAATGGGTGTTATTTTTTATGGCAATCATTGTAATCGTGATATTTCGTAATTAGAAAACATCTAGTTTTATTAAAATAAAATATTTTTAAACAACATAGTTCATTATTTTAAATACCCAGGCTATTTTATATTAGAAATTAGTGACAATCTTTATTTTAAACGTACGCTAATTACAAAATTTATTTGCTCATTATATCTAATTTATAATAATTTGTATTAAATAAATCTTGCAACTGTATTTTAAAAACAAAGTAAATTAATATATTATGTTCAATTTAATCAATATATTTCGGGCAGTAATCTTCAGAGACAATAATTATTTTAATTAAATAATAATAATGTTATTTATATTTGTCATTCTAAACATCTCGGGCATACATAAGCGAGAGAGCTAATTATATATTAAATTATTATTAAATATTAAATTATTATTAAATATTAAATTATTATTAAATATTAAATTATTATTAAATATTAAATTATT